GGAACATCTGAAAATCTAAATTTAATGACATATGGGTTAATGAATGCATGCATGAATTTAGGCTGACCTTAAAATATCACTGATCTTCCAACAGTGGGATCTAATCCTGATTCGTAATCAATTGAATAAAGCATCTCTTGTGAATGAAAGGGGTAGCACTGGCTAGTAAGATGAAGGACAGTCTTACAATAAAAGCAGAGCAAAAAGCTTTGGTATTGTGCCCAGTTCTCTTTTAGTCTGCTGTGAACTTACCAAAGCCACCCATCTGTGAAATGTAGAATATCAGAAGTCCGGCATATTGTCTTCAAAAGCGGGATAACTGCATGACCCTGGGTAAGGTCAGTGGTTGAAGTTTTTCCAGGTACAGCAGGAACCGTTGCCAAGCAGGTACCTGAGTGTTAGCTCAGGTAGGTATCAGAAGCCCTTCCTGGTATCTGTATCTATTCCTTTCAGCACACTGAAAACAATGTTAGAAACCGTTTCTCACTGTATGGTGTAGGATTAGCAGAAACTACAGGGTCATGGAGTCCAATCTCCTTCGTGTCATGTGGCTTATGATGACAGATGTCTTCAGAGACCTCCTGAACCCTGCCCTGAAGGGGTTTAGATTTTCTACCCTGCGTGACTTTGAATGAAAGGGTAACTTTACCTGCACTACTCTGACAACTACTCAGTTGTCAAAGCCCTGGCTAAATTTCTTCATGCCTGTTTTCTCCCCAGATTTTCTTTCATTAGCATTAACCCTTCAGTGCAGGGGCTGTGTTGCCCTCTGAGCTGCGTGGCCTTCTGGTGCACTTGCAGACCGTCATCCCTCACTTTGCTGGGGCGCGGTGTATTCAAACTGGGGGCTGCAGCTGTATGAGGGTCCGGGTGTGGGCTGCCATGTTAGTGTTGCCAGAGAGCCACCTCCCTCCACCCTGGGGGGTAACCCATGGTGGGCCTGAGGTGTGAGGAGGGTCATGGCCCAAAACACAGTGCTAGAGAGCACTGCACAACACCGCACGAGCCTTGGTCACCCCACATAGCTGCCGGCAGCGGGGCTGCTTCCCCTTGCAAGGAGCTGCCCTCACTAGGCTGAGGGGCCCCTTGTACACTGGGAGGTTTATACCTTGGTCTTGTGCTGGTGCTAAGGGTGGGGGTTTGGGTGAGCTGAGAGTTGGAAATGGCTTATTTTTTTCTAACAAGCAAGGGTACCTGCTTCCCCTTGAACTACACCTAGGGGGGTCGAGCCAGTGGCTCTCTGGTAACTGGTGACAACACCAACAACCATGTTTATCGGGAGCCTTCTCAGAAGAGATCAGCGTGTTTAACCAGCTGTTCAAATACCACTATCCCTTCTATGGGGCCGGGCAGCACAGTCCTGCCCCCTGCACAGCCCTGACCAGCTGCAGCAATGGCAGCTGGGGGCTGGTGCTACCACAGCCAGTGTTTTGCAGAAGGGCCTCTGCCACATGGCGAGCCCTGCGTGGGCTCCAGGGCGAGTAACACAGCTTGTTGTGGGGCCTGCTAACCACAGGCTCCTCCACAGTGGTGGCTGCGATATGCCACCTTCCCCTGCAGCTCTGCTGAGGAGCCTGAGGCCTCCGATGGGTTTTGGTGGCTTTTTTCCAGAAGGTAATTAATTCGGGGTGCTTTTCCTGGTGTGGGATTTTGGGGTTGGTTTTTTGTTGTTTGTTTTTCTTTCTTTCTTCTTTTCACATTTAGAGCTCCAGGAGCAATGCTCGATGAATGCAGAGTGGTGTCTCTTTGTACTTGCGGTACTGTATTAACAAAAGCTCAAAGTTTGACACTGATAAAAAAAAAAAAAAAACAAAAACCAGTTTTTGGTTTGATCAGATCGCTGCTCACCAGCCGGAGCATGAATAATACAACACAGAAACTGCCGGCACCCGGGCTGCTCCCAGGTGCTCGGACACGGAGATGGTGGGAGGGACGCACGCATACACATACACGTACACGTACACGTACACATACACACACACACGTGCATGCAGATACGCACATCTATGCATGCACATACACTTACACACACAAAGCGGGGCGCGGCGCGGCGCGGGGTCCCGTCTCCACGGTAACGGGGCGGCGGTGCCGCCTCGCGAGGGCGTTCTTGCTCGGCGCCGGGTCGGCTCTTCCTCCGGCGGCAGGGCAAAGGTGCGGGCGGGTTTGGTCCTCGGGGGCCACCATCGGCGGTGCCCGTTGCTGCGAGGAGGTGAGCTGGGCTGAGCTGCTGCCATAGCGACGCCGCCGGGCGCACCGACGGGGCGGGCCGGGCCTTCAGCGGGCGGTGGAGGTGGCTCGCCCCCGGGCCGGGGTGGGGACAGCGGCGGGACACGGACAGGCCGCAGTGTCGGGGGAGCAGGTAATGCCGGGGAGGCTAATGGCGGCCCCGCCGTGGGAGGTGCACACGGCCGGCCCTCATGCGTTACAACCCGGCGAAGGGCTGCTTCGCCTGCTTGCTTGTGTCGGTGGTCATCACGGTGAGTCGCTGCCGAAGGTTGTCAGTCGCAGTAGAAGGCGCTCCCAGTGATACGCGGAGCCGGGTGCTTTTGGGCCTTCCCCACCAAAACGGAGTTGGGTTCGCGTTTATGAGTCTGTATAAACGTGTATTTTGGTACAAAGGGGCAAAATAACAAAGCACCATCACTGTGTCCCCTTGTAACTGCGCCTAGCCTGTGGCTGAATATACCCACGTAGAGGTGTTACTGAGCTTTGCAGAACAGTCACACACCCAGTTAGAATTGAAACAGTGAAAACGAAGACTTGAGATTTTCTGCACGCTTTTGGTCCCTCTTAAAGCTGAAGCCCTTTAATCCTTACTTCATTGGAATCTAAATAGAATAGGATCTGATTCAGGATTTTCTGAAACAAGGTCATTAACTTGAAATTCTCTTCAGCTGTGACTACTTTATGTTACAATAAAAGAAGCTGATTTTTATGCTGTTCCCCTTTATTATACATATCCTAAATATATTGAACAATTTTCAGTATTTGCATTGTCACTGAATGAACATGTTTTGTTAATGGCACAATTCAGCTTTCTAGCTTTTGTGCCTGTTGACCATCATGATGAAGTTAAAGAGAAATGGTTCTTTTGTGCTGAATATGTACTAGAGCAGGGTAATCTCCATTAAGACCCCAGGTACATGTCCACCCAAGCCCAGGTGAAGGAAGGGGCATTTCCCGGCAAAAATCATGACCTGTTTGAACAAAATTTAAACTTGGAGAAATGTAGCGTGATTAATTGAATAACGGTCGTGGCAAGTGGTGACTAAAAAGAAGGGAATTAGGAGCAAAATTTTCCAGATTTTCTTGGACAAAATATGGATCAAAAAGAGAAGAGTTTTGTAAAGTTTCTAAATGAAGTTTGCAACAGAAGTGCCCAGCTTGATTGCCATTTTTTTTCTCTTTTAAGCAAATCTTGGCTAAAGTTTGAGGTCCAAAAGAGCAGCAGTCTTGACAAGCATGAAAGTTTTAAGAAGCAGAGCTGGTGTTCCTGAGAATAAATGAGAATTTAGGAGATGCTCATCAGAACTTAACAGCTTGAAGGAATTTAAGCAGCATCATCTGGATGGAAGGATTTTTACAAAATGTATTACAAAATCTGAGGCAGGTTGGGAAGTCCAGGTCTTGTCTGGAAGGGCAGGTTGTTAACACATGTAGCTGTCTTGCTGTTTCAATCCAGGGTCAGAGATAACTCAAACATCTTGTATTGTGTTGCAATATGTTAATGCATATAACATGATCTTCTAGTACGTGGTATGTGACACAGATTTGTCCTACTAGAGACACTTAGAAGTGACACCTTCCAGCCTACAGCAGAGAATACAAAGAGAATAGGAAATTTTGAATAATCAATGTTTCCTTGTTTTGTGTTGTTTTTGTAAACATTAATAAACAAATTAGGAAAGGAATGATGAGTGGCTAAAGCTGTAAAAAGGGCAGAATCATCTCAGCTGATGTGTGTCTCTACATCAGCTTTTAACCCTTTTGTGTATTAGATGGAGACATATGCTTTCTGTTGAGTGAATCCCTGAGCCCAGGGGTTTCAGGCAGTCAGCCTGGAGTCCTGAGTACCAGCACTGAAGCAGTCCTTCAGGAGCTGTTGACACCTATGTGCTATACAGTCCAAAGATTGTTTAAAAAATTCAATCCTTATAGTGGCTTGTCTCCAGTTTTGTCATGGTTGTGACTATATCCAGCCTGATTAACTGGTAAATGAGAATTTTCCATTGTTGTCTTCCTCATAAATTCAAACCAGAACTGAATCCTTTTCCCAGTATTCTCAATTGGTGTCTGTGTAACTTTTCTTTACCCCTAATACTAGTGGAGCTAATAGGTTTGAAAGATAGCTCCTTGTAAACATTCAGCCACTCTAGTAGAAGTTTCTGGCAAGAGTAAAATCAATGAATGTCTTCTCATTTTAATATGTCATTATGAGAAGCTTTTTGGTGATTTGATCTACAGTAAGGCATAGCATGGATCTTCTAGGACTTGTGCATTTCACATTTTTGCATTGTGACTTTAAACAAGTTGAGACTTCTTTAAAGGAAAATGGGCCAGGCAAATATAAAACAACAATGTAAAACGTACCTGGGAGCAATGAAAGCTCTTAGTAATCTTAACTACGTTTGTACTTTTTATGTTTTACCAAACATAAAATAGCAGTCTCTTTGTCCAAGCATAAGACCGACAGTCAAGAGATCATGAGTTCTCGTTTTACCTCTCAGAGACGTACTGCAAGACATCGAGTTAAGTCACCTTGGTTTGCTTTGACTCAAATCTTCACGTAGTAGTTGGACCTGGAAAGGCCAAAACCATTCATGTTTATAAACCATTAGTGATCTGTAGTCCTGGGGTTCTGTGGCATGGTCCAGCATGGTTGTATTGATACTGCTCACAAGTTTGATGTGAGTGCCATAAGAGATATTGATGTCCTATATTTGCGTGTCACCAGAGTTTTAAAACAACTCTTTCCTGCTCTCTTTTTTATAGTGTTACTCTAACACATCACCAAAATGAGTGAAAATGAAGACCAAGGAGATCCAACGAATATGGGTGATTTAACAGGAGGCGTAGAATATGAGGATGATTTTGAAAAAGACCTTGAATGGCTAATTAATGAAGAAGATGAAGAAGAAGAAGAAAACCTTGATGAAAGAGAGGTAGTTGTTAAATGCTAAATTATATGCTAGTTATTTAGGATACAAAGTTGAGTAATATTTGAAATCATAAGCATAAAATTGAATATGGCTTGAAATGTGTAGGTACATTCACTGGATTTTGACAGAGAAAGTTATTTGGGTTATAGTGAAAACCAGTTCAGTGAACTGGTTAGTTTGGTTATAATTGCTTTAAACCAGAAAATTCAGTATTCCTTGAAAAGAATATGCTTATTTCAGAAGTACTTTTGGATTCCTTTTCGTGTTTGTGCAACACACATTCTGTTTTTGTGGTGTCACTGATCACTGTGCAAGCCATGCTTAGTTAAATTTTGTGCATGGAGGGACTGCAAGAAGGTTGTTAATGTCAAAAAAGCTATTAGTTATGACATGCACTATTTGACAGCCTGTTTTAGAGTTAGGGTCATTAGTAGTGCTCTTCTCTCTCACTATTTCTTTTCTCTTTCTCTGGTACTGTTCTTTGTTGGGAGAATAGTTGTTTAATTTTTGTTTTTAGAATCCTGAAGCACGAATTGTTGAAGGTGAGGATAGCTTTGAGGAAGACAATGAGGAAATGGAAGAAAATCCAGATCAGCTTTCAGAAGCAGATGTAAATGTGAAAGTGAGACCCTCCAATGAAGAAAGTTTGGAATCCAGATCTGATGTTAAACAGGGGGATCATGTATCTGATACTGATAGTGAAAGCTCTATCCAGGAATCCAAGCTGGAAAACCAGCAGGAACTGGATGAGGAAGAGGATGAAGAACTAAAGCGTTACATCTTGGAAAAGATTGAACAAGCCAACAAATTGCTGGAGAATCAGGGTCCTGTGGATCAGAACAGAGAACGGAAATTAAAATTTAAGGATAAGTTGGTGGATCTTGAAGTTCCTGCTCTAGAAGATGTTGAAATTTGTAAAACTGACTTTGCAAAAGGAGATGATGTTTCAAATAGGCTGTCTCAGTTGTGTATATCTAATGAAATGGGACAGGAAAGCACATCACTTTCTCCACATGCTGACAAGAACAATGAAAAGAAGGATGGTGAAATCTTAGTGGAAAAAGATGGGAAGTTTGAACTCTTAAGTTTACATGATATTGAAAGCCAGGGCATTTTGCCCCCAATAAGTGTTTCTTTTACTGATATTGAAACTCAACACATGTCTCCAAAATCTTCACCCTGTAGTCCTCCTGGTGCTGCTTCTCAAATGAAGAAAGTACCTCCAGAAGGACCAGGAGCACATACTTTTTCTCCTGGTGGAGATGACTGTGTGTTTTTCCCAAAGCCTCCATCTAACCCGAAGCATCGTCCAAATTCTGCCATCAGTGCTTCAAGAGGTCTGGGAAAACAGAAGACTCCACAGAGGGTGCAGTCTGCCAGCATGCCTGTGAGAAGCTCCACTTACTGTCTTTCTCCCAGACAAAAAGAATTGCGGAAACAGTTAGAACAAAGGAAGGAAAAACTGAAGAAAGAGGTAAAGATACAGAGGCAATAAATAGATCACAGTGACTATCCTGTTCCCATGCTTCACAGAAACCACATATTCAGGGCATTTCCTCCATTTTTCCATTGTAAAAGAGGCAACAAGAGTAATACTAACAAGATTATTACTGTTATTATTGTTGCTGTTATTATTCTCTGGAGTTTGTAAGGAATCTATCAAAAGTCTTTTCCTTAGGTGAAAAGAAAAACCCCACAGAGTGGCATAGGATCATGTCTTGCTCACAAGAGAAATTAATTATTTATTTACTACATCCTCCATAAATAGGCCTTCTGCTGTATTGTACTTACTGCTTTTGCTTATTGACTCTCTTTCTACCTAGGTTCCATTTCATGCCCACTGTTTACTGTGACATATCCCATGGTATCACATCTCCACGGATTACACTGCAGTGCAGGAAGTTAACATTAACCAAAGTAATGCAGGTGCACATTTGGGTGCTCATGAAGTATGTAATAGGCAATTATCATATGGGAGAGTGTTCAGTCATAAAATGAGATCTTCACAAGAGAATGACCCTGAGAACTACAAACAAAGAGCAGTGTGTTTAACATGTATGGGAGATAGAGCTGACTTCAAAAGTGGTATGCCTTATGCCTGCAATAAGATGCATGCAGGTGAAGTCACATTGACTAATAATATAACTGGATACTTTCCTTCCTGTAAAGGTTTTGCATAGGTGAGCGTTGTAGTAAGTTTTCTCAATGAGTTTGTGGCAAAGTAGGTTTTTTTCCCCTTTCTCTGTTAATTAATACTACTTTTCCTTCTTATTTGCTTTTACCTGGGCACTACAGAGACGACAAAAAGAAGACAGTATTGCCAGTAGTGAGATTATTCTTCTTGTATCTATAAAGGGCAATAATTTTAAAAAAACAAGTTAGAAAATCAAGTCAGTATCTTATGTATTGCTGGGAAAAAACCTCCACCTTTTTAGATCTTTCTCAGTGCCTTATTCAGAAAAACATATGTAATAGAGCCAGCCTTTGACAGCTGTAACAGGAACCTCATAAATCTTTACCAAGTATTTTAAAATCTTAGATATTTTTCTTCACTTTGCATTATGATGATACAATTACTTAAGAGTAGCTTGCTATGTATGTTGCTCTGTAAAAAAGAGCATGAAGCAGCTTCCATTTTTCTGTGCCATGATGTTCTAAGTAATCTGGCTCAGTAGCTTCAAAGGTTGCTTTCTGTCATCTGTGGAAATGAGCCTAGCCTGGTTTATTTGAGGCTGAGGCTTAGCTCAGTAACAAGGGGTATGAAATGAGAAGAGTTACTGATGGGTTTGCTTTGTACCACAAGACTGGATCTCTTGACACCATACTCTGCATATTTAAAGTAAAAGGTAGTGTCATAGAGATAGGGAAGGTTATTTTCCTAACAGTATGTGCTAAATCTCTTCCTCTGCTGGCTGACTTATGAAAAGGTAAGAATGTATTACGTTATTTCTTCATTTTTGAATGGAGTTCTTCCATTCAGTGATGGATTTCACGGGCATGAAACATTTCTTGACATTAATGAAATCCATCTGCTTCATTTTGGTGGAGTTTCTTTCATTTCAGTAAATTTCAAATTACAAGTTTGAAGGCTAGTGTGAAAGTAGATGGGAGGAATATCATCTATTTGCAAGAAGAACAGGTTTCTATGAGTATTGAAATGAGTGGGGATTGTAGCTTTTTTATCAAAGAAAGAGAGTTACACTCTAGTAAAATGTCCTAACCAGCTTTCTGAAGTGCAGTCTGAAAACCTTTCTCCTCCTTGTAGATACTTGTAATTGGCTAAAATATGATAATAATTTAATTATTAATAATTTTATTATTATAATAATAATAAAAAAAACCTTTTCTCAGTTTTGTAAAAATCAGTTCATTTTGTAAACTTGAAAAAAGTGTTAAGCTATTAATACTCTGTAAGTAAATACATTACAATGTCATGTCCAGAAAAAGCCCCATATTTGTAAGGTAGTAGTCTGTAGTCCATAGGTAGTTAAATATCCTTTAGGGTTTAGTGTACCCACCTGTCAAGACTGGAAACTGCATTCATTTTCAAAATGCATCAGTTGAAACTGATTTTAAGCCAATCAGAGCTATTGGACAGGCTTAATTTTAAAAGTCTTTACCCAGTGCTATTAAGAGATGTCTGTGAGTTGAGATGTATCATGGAAATAGAGGTAATCACAGAAAGGGTTAGACAGTATCTGAATGTAACATGAACCACAGAAGTGGTCAAACTCTTTTCTTCCTAGAAGTAGTATCAATTATGATGTAATCTTTGCTTATTCCAGTTTCATCAGTACTTTTGTGTCTCTCATATAATTCAGATGGCTTATTTATTGTCTATGAAGGCCTTTGAAGATTGATTCTCTTAAAAACTAAGTTTATTAACTCTTCATTCCATTTAAGGAAGAAGAAAAGAAAAGGGAACAAGAAGAACAGAAGAGAAGAGATAATGAGATGGTTTTTAAAGCTTGGTTACAGAAGAAGAAAGAACAAGTGCAAGAAGAAAAGCGGATTCGTCGTGCAAAGGAGCTAGAAGACTTGAACAGCAGGGTAAGATCTCCCTAAAATAGAACTGGGAGCTGTAGTGCTCTTGTTAAATAGGAAAATTAGATTCTAAGCCTTAGAATCTGTTCTTCGCTAAGCATATGCAAATACACAGTGATAGGAAGCGTTTTTATTACATTGATTTCGGTGATGAGCTAGATTGACTTGCATGTTTAGGATTGTTCTGCTTGGCAGAGTGGCTTGCATCATAGAAGCTGCATATATGAATTCCATAGCTATAAAATCACAGGAGACGGATGCTCCTTTTTATTGGGAGAATGACTTGATTGAACCCTGCAGTGAACAGCCAGCCAGAAAACCCTTTGAAGTGCATTCCTTACCTTTTGGCAAGCAGTTAATGCACATGACCTGACCAAAGCCTGAAGATGCTGTCTTCTAATTTTCCTCTGCCTTGCAGCAATGGGCTTGAAAAGCTAAATTCAGTATTTTTTTAAAACAAACAGCTTTGAATGGTTGTTCATGTGAATATTCCATGCCAGATTAGCATATGATTTAGTTTGGTTCTAAAGTATGTTTTGTGGATGGGAGATACCAGCAGAGTTCAAAAAATTGTTATAATGTGATTATAAGTCATTTAATGATAAGCCTTGTGTGTATATGTCTTTTTCTTTTTTTTTTTTTTTAAATAGGAGAAGGACAGGAATCCAGAAGAAGCCTTCAAGTTATGGCTTAAAAAAAAGCACCAAGAGCACATGAAGGAAAAACAGTTAGAAATGTTGAGGCGCCAAGCTGAGGGAATTGCCTTTTTTCCAAGAACAGAGGAATGCAACAGAGCCTTTAAAGAGTGAGTAGGGTCATTCCTAGGGAATAGTATTTGTAAGTTTTGTAGTCTATCAGGCTAAAAGCATAGTTATTTTATCGTACATCTTTACTGCTGAAGTCCTCATTGTTTTGGTTTGGGGCTTTTTTTATGGATATGCCCTCATAAACTTAAACCCCAGCAAAAATGCATCAATTTCTTGTTGTTTGTTCAGTGTTGTGAAATTACTTGTCAGAGCCTGAGCTGAAATAGTGAATTACTTCTCCTGAAAAAGGGAGATACTTCTCCCCTGCCTGTCAGGCTCAGGTTGATTCAGCTCTTTAAACAAGCAGAAAGATAATCCAATAGAGTGTTTTTTAACTCCCTCAAGTTTGTGAGTTGAATTAGCTCAACAGCAAGGGGGAGGCAAAGGTGGGTGGCAGAAGCTGGAGAATGGGATGGAGAAATAGTACTTTTAGACTGGCTCAGCCATGACACCTGTGTTTATCCTCGAGGGCAAGGTGACTCTAGTTAAGTGGGGGCAAGTCTCCTTCAAATGGATGACATAAAACTTTAAATTGCAACTGTCAGTATTTCTAGACCTCCTTCTCTTTCCCCAGATGGCTAAAAAGAAAAAGAGAAGAAAAACGAGCAGAAGAACTAGCTGCTAAAGAGAGAGTGAGGCAGCTTAGACTAGAAGCCAGAAGAGCAAAACAGCTGCAGAACATCCACTGTATTAATTCAGAGCCAAAATCCTTTCGCTTCACAAGTCATTACAGTTGAAAGTTTGATGTAAGAACAGAGTTCTTGGTGGCAGTCTTTTAATTTTTATGGCTTGAGTTTTTGCTCTTTACAGCTACTTTTTGTGGTGTGTTTAAAGCTTCAAACAAGTTTAAAAATTACCTTCACTAACAACAATTTTTCTACCTATTTATTTGTAATTTTGTTGAAAAAGCCTGCTTTTATATATAACTAACTCAGGGATTTTATTGGTTTGCTCAAGTCTTAACGAGTATGAGATCTACATACGAGGGTGGCAAATACACATTCCTGTCATTAAAAGGCACTTTATACTCAACTCCACCATGAATTCCTGGATGCAGGCTATTATGTAAAATGTTGACTTTTTGCTGGATTAATATTGCTGTTTGCTGCTGCTTGTGATGAAGACTGTACAAGGTGTTACGTTGTTGGAAAATGCTGCTTCTTGTACCACTTTCTATTGAGCTGTTGACCAGTTAATTCTGGCCAGACCGGAGGACTATTTCATTTATTTTAGGGAAAGTGGCCATTGAAGGCTAACACATGTGTGACTGTGCAACAGTCTTTGAAACTTATTTCTGAGTCATAGTTAGTAATTTTCTATCCCATTAAGTGATTGTGTGAATTATGACCTTTACCAGCTACCTTCAAGGTAGCTGGATCATTTGTATATGTGTCCATGTTTGCTAAATTAATTATAATAAATTATACCACCTTACCCAGATCAATTGTGAACTCTTCTCAGAGAGTGCTGAGGTCAATCATGAAGTTAATGGAAGATGAGGAGCAACTGTCCAACCTATTTCATGATCTGTCATTGTTCTTCCACTTTTGCACATTTAAAGTGTTTTCTGGAAGTTTTGTAACAGGAAGTAGTGTAGTAGATGGCAAAGCAAATTTGCCATGAGTATTTTTCTCTTCGCATTCTGGAGATAGTTGCAGGCATATTGAAAGAGTACGGATGGCACTGTGGTGCAGCTTTTGCTAGCATAGGTAAAGGACATGGTTGTGAAATGGAAATTTGACATGCTACTGAGAAAGGCAAGCAACAGATGCCTTCCTGTACCTTCCCCTGACACCAAGGACAAAAAGTGCTTCTTGTGTCTGGCAAATGCAGAGGTGAAGTCTGCAAAGGTTCATGGTATCTCCCTAATTGTAAGAAGCTACAAAAGAAGTGTTTCTTGGTTCACTACCTCAGACCAGTAGAATTAAGGGTTTTACAGTTAAACGTCATGTAGTTCTTTTTATGCTGCAGGGAAAACAAGGTCAGAAATACAGTTATATTAAATCCAAGATTGCAACTTTAAAGCAAAGAAAGTTTATTGTAGTTTTCTTCATGCAAATCAAAGCATGGCCAGCAACAGCAAGAACTTAACTTACAGATTCTGATAACAGTATGAGATTCAAAGAAAAACTGGGTGAAAGCTACCATTTCAAAACCCTTTCCCTAAACTAGATGGCTACAGGAGATAGATTTGGGAATGAAACTAAGAAATTAAAATGCATACTTGCATCTTTCTTCTTTACATCTGCAGCTTAAAGAGGTTTCTTTAGATTTAGCAGATCATCTGCTGAAACTTCTCTTCAAACCTACATCAAGATTATAAAATCATATATGTAAAAAAAAAATACTTTTTTTTACCAGTGCTTGTGCAAACTTCGTGCTTATCTTCAACTCCCCAGAAAGCCCATGAAGACATTGGGCAAGAACTAATATTAGGTCAGGTTTCAACACTGTGTACTAAAGGAAGTATATTAGTCTGTCTTTGCTGAGGATCAGCTACTCAACAGCTTCATTCTAGAAGCTGAGATAGATGGAAAACCATTATTTTAGCCTTATGGAAACACAAGAATAACCTCATCCCAAACAGGTTTCCAGAATTTATTTAAAAACAGTTACTGTTTATATATTACAGCTAGAGTTCATTCAAGTTCTTTCCCTTCTTGCCAGGGCTGCAACACTGCATATGCTCTTACTTTCAGAGCTTAGAGCTATGAAAATTCATTGCACGTTTTCCTTTTGATTTCTGAAAAGGCTGAACATAGACTTGGTGACAGTTCATCACCTTGGCTAAGATTAAAAAAAAAAAATGCATGGAGCTGACAATTTTCCATTGCACCTTCCCCCCTTCCCTTAGCATAATCTATCAGCACTTCATTTACTTTGGTACAGTTAGGCTTTTGTCTCCCTCTAAACAGAAATTCATTGAGATTTGCTAATAAGACTGTAAACCTTAAATGGTCAAGGGCATCTCTATGCTCTACAAATCAGACCAGTGTAACATTTTTGGTCTTGCCTTTGTAGAAGAAAAGAAGTAGCTTTCCAGACTGAAAAGTAGTGGCAGTATCCCAGAGGCTAAGGAAATACTGTCAGTACCTAGCTTCAAGTAGTAAGAAACTGCATCATTTCCAATGTTAAACCCACCCATTATGGAAAGAAATAGGAAAAAGGAAAGTCTGCTGAACATCAACTAGTGTAATTCTTCAGAAGAGTGCATGTGCGGTTGCATTGCCTATGTTTTTAAAGGACTATCAGCTCTCCTTGACAGTGATTGCAACAATTGAAAGTTACATCTTCATATCTTGTGTATGGGTGAAACCTTCCAATATTCTTCTTTGTGGAAAGGAAGGAGGCTGGAGAAGTCTCAGAAAAAGAAACTTCTGTCGATGATTCGGCACGTGCAGCTGGATCCAGTACCCGTAGCACCTAAGGATGGAAAAATTGAGACTGACAATATATCTATTAAGTTTCATGGGTTTTATCCTTCTTTACCAGCTAGGAAAGATTTCCCAAAAGCAATTTTTCATTTCTTTCCAAGTTGAAAACTGAATATCCATCTTTCCAGACCCTCAATATAAAGACATTAGGTAGTGTTTATAAATTAGTAATATTCATCAGAAATCCAAGCTATAATTTTAAAGAGAATTAAAAAAATCTAATTTCTTTTAGCAGAGTTGAGCAAAACTAGGCAAGAGCAACACAGATCAGTAGGCACTGTGAGCCTCCTGCTGCTCAACCATTACTCAATTGCTTCCAGACTAAACTCTTAGTCTAGTTTTCTATTTAAGCATCAAGTTTCCTGTGGTGAAACCTTGTCTTGAAAGATAATCACATAGCTTCTTTCTGTGTTTCCATCCACTCTTAACAGAACTGATTTGTAGGGCAACAAACTATTGCTGAAGTGTTATGAGTTTTTCCTACCTGAGTTTCTTCTCCCGCTAAGTTTTTAGACTCAGATAAGTATTTTTGATTGGCTTCCTCCTGACACACTGACTCTAATCTAATTCTGACCCAATCATTTTTAGTGCTAGGAACAGAGAAGGAAACAGTATGTATCATTATGTATGTTGTTCTGCTTATTGTTCCAGGTTTGGTTGGTTGGTTTTGGGGTGTATCTTTTTTTTTTGGGGGGGGGGAGGCAACATCTCTATTCAGTAAGTTTCCCCTGCATATAGTTTTTTAAAAAGATAAGATATGAAGTATTTAACACAAGGCAAGATATTTCTTTCTGGAAAGAAGACTCTGTGTTGACAGACTGAGATGTATGAAGAGTTCTTACCATTTCAGCCATTTTCTCAGCAGGGGTACTGCAGAACTCCACAGATGTTGAAGTCTTCTTTGGACTGTTAGTGCCAACATTTCCAAGAAGACGTGAGCTTACAGCTTTGGCTAGCTTACAATTCACAGCCGCTAGCTCTGTCGTAGTGTAACATTGGGCACTAGGATAGTATGTCTGTTGTCTCCCCCACTGAAGAGAAACCATCAGTTCCTCCAGCAGCCTGTGCAGAAAAGAAGACAGCACTATTAGTGGGTTTTGTACCCTGTATTACCAGCAACTTCACTGGAATCATCCCTTCCCAAGACTTACTGCACAAGCTAAATGTTAACTGAAACATGGAAAAAGAAAAAAAAAAAAGTGTTTAAAAATCATGTTATCTTCCAAGGCAAGGCCTCACCATCAAGGTATTTTAATACAGGTAAAACCTGACAACTGTCAGAATAAGCACAAAAGAAGTCCACATGGGTAGAAGAGTCTGTATGTTTTAGAAGGAGACAGAGAAAACTTGAAGGCAAGATAGTTCAGTGATTAACTACAGAAATCCTGAGGATATAAGGGATGTCAGCTCTAGAGTAACACCTCACACCTCCAGGCAACAAAGGAAAAATTAATACTACTTTGGCTCTTTCAGCTGTGGTGCTGAAAAGTGACATTACTCTCTATCAGCATAATTAATTTTTGTTGACTATCACTGGAACAGGAAAATTATTTGATTCTTCTCTGGTCTACAATGAACAGACAGAAATTAAGTTTGCACAGAGGTAGTGTGGATTAGAAAAATCATACTTCTGCGTATCAATCATCTCTTGACGGAACTGATCGCGTTCATTCAGCAAGTCCTGGATTGCACTTTGTGCATCCCTGGTTTGACGCTGAAGTATTGCTCTGGTATTGGTTAGCTCATCAGCCATAACCCTGCAAAACAAATCCCCAATCAGTAGTGTAAGTGAGCAGTTTGAAATTCACCTTTATTCTACTACAGACTGCAATTTGTCAGCTCAAGTTAAGGATTAAGCTGCTGTTCTTACTCTCCCACCCAGAGCCCATATCAACCTAATTATAAAGGACACATATTAAGAATAATATATGTTCAACCACAGTCAACACAAGTTCAAGATTATATTTTGATTTGCTGAGTTTAAACAATTGTATGTCACTTAATACAAACCTAGCAACAGACATTTCAAAATACCTTGGATAACAGAACATTTACATGTAAAAATGTAAATACATTTTGTTTTACTAACACAGTTCTCACAAGTATGCTGTAATCTCATATTTCCATACTCCTCTCTGAAGATGACACCTATGGCTAAAGACTGCATTCATTCACCTCTTTGCCTTTCTCAGGGGCAATAACTAGACATTACATGTGCCAGATATAAGCATTTAAGAGCTACAAATGAGACAACTGTTGACACATTTTGCTATGCCATGAAGCTCAGCACTGACCCCTCAAGAAGCATCTCAAATGCCTAC